ACACATTATATGCCCCCTTTGCATTTTGGCTTGTTGGCCTCAAGTGTGTGAGTTTGTAGCATGCACTATTTGCTTTATTCTAATGATTTGGCATCATTTTTAGCATAATTTCATACCTTATAGCATGCTTGTTTGTTTTCTTTGGACACCTCTTTGAAGCTTTGAAATCTTGTGCAGCATGTTCCATGTTTTGGCCATTGTACATGCCTTTGAATTTGAGCCACTTAGATGCCATCTAGGGGGTCCCCTTTGCATGGTCTAGGTCTGCCTTGAACCTATTTTAAGTCTCCTTAGCCTTGTGAGGCTTGGTTGGCTTGGTCATGGTTCAAGCCCTTTTGACCTGCTTCAAGCACTTGGGCCATTTGTTGCATGTTTAGCTTGATTTGTTGCTTGGTTTGGCACCATGTTTTAACATGATTTTCAGAGCTTATGTTGCATGCTAATTGTCCATGATATCCTTCTTTCAAATGTGTTTGAGAGTTGTCCCATTGGTGCTTAAGTGTTGACCTTTAATCATGTGTGTGTATGCATGTGTATTTGGTCCCTTATTATAGCACTATGGCCACTGTTTTAGGCCTATTTAGAGTTGCCTAAATCATGTATAAGTCCACCTTTCCATCAATTTGCATTGCCTCATGTTTGCTTGTATGCTTGCATAAGTGTCTTGCCATGCCATGTTGCGTCCTTAGCTTGTATGCCTAGGTTGCATTGCATCATGCATGCATGCTTTATTCCTTGACTTGGTGATAGGAATTGGGCCTTGGTTTGTTTGTTTGGTTTGCATTTCATTTGACATAAAAGTTACACACTTGATTCTTTGGGCCGTCATGCATGGAAATGTGTGATTGGCGGTCCGAGAATAGAGACACGTGCCCTTTTGAGTCATAAACATGATAGAGGGCATAATTGGTGCATACATTGTTTGAATTGTATTGCCATGCAAGTTCTGTCCTCTGCTGCTATGAGTTGCAGGTTCTGCAGGCATTCTTTGCCGACCGGCAGTGTACATTGCCGACCGGCAATTATTCTTCTGCCGATAGCTTCATTTTGTGCCGGTGACCACATACCACTGCCGGTGGTAATTCTACTCAGCCGGTGGTGAACCCCAGTATACAGAGAGGCATCTTTGAGACTTTGGCAGTCTTCAGAGGGGCAGAGCAGGGAAAACAGAGGCAGACTATGCATGGCCATGCACTTCCGAACGGGACCCGAGCATGCGCTGCATCCGGCTCTCCTTCCGAGGCGGTTTACTGTTTTTCCTAGCTTAGTTAATTTATTAATTAATTAGGAAATTTGTCTAGCTGGTTCATGAACTTTAACAGCGAATCAGACAATATTGTAGAGTCGATTCCTGAACCGTTATTTGCATGCTTGCTTGCTTGCCTAGGTTGCATTGCATTATGTGTGCATCTCTTGCCTCTTGATCAATCATGATAGAGGTTGGGGCCCTTTATTTGTTTGTGCATTTTATTCCATATTGAGTTGCACACTTGACTCTTTGGCCGTCATGCATGGAAATGCGTGATTGGTGGTCCGAGAATCGAGACACATGCCCCTTTGAGTCAAAAACATGATAGGGGGCATAATTGGTGCATACATTGTTTGAATTGTATTGCCATGCAAGTTCTGTCCTCTGCTGCTGTGAGTTGCAGGTTCTGCAGGCATTCTTTGCCGACCGGCAGTGTACATTGCCGACCGGCAGTAATTCACCAGACGATGGATCAATTTTGTGCCGATGACCACATAGCATTGTCGGTGGTAATTCTACTCAGCCGGTGGTGATTCCCAGTATCCAGAGAAACATCCCTGAGGTTTTGGTAGCCTCCAGAGGAGCAGAGCAGGGAAAACAGAGGCAGACTATGCATAGCCGTGCATTTCCGAACGGGACCCGAGCATACGCTGCATCTGGCTCTCCTCCCGAGGCGGTTTACTGTTTTTCCTAGCTTAGTTAATTTATTAATTAATTAGGCAATTTGTAATATTTAATTAGCTTGCGTAGTTAATTAATTTGTATTATTTATTTGGTCCCTCCGCGCGAGGGCAAATTTGTAATAAGTGTGTGTGAGTGGTGTGTATGTCTTCCAATCCCCACTTCTTTCTTCCCTTTTATTTACCTGCTTTGATGGTAGATTAGGGCACGTTTAAATTAGCATACCTTATGCAATGCATGCATGCATTCATTCATTTGTTTTACATGCACCGAGCTCGGTACATCACGTTAACTGCATTTGTACTTCAATTCCAAATTGAATACGTGCATCAATTGACTGCGTTTCACATGCCATGCTTAGGTTAGCCGAGCCTACACTAATTGCATTTTGCATGCGTTGCATTAGCCACTCTAACATGAACTAGGATCATGCATGTTTGCTAACTAGTTTATTGTTTTGGCACGGAGTACTATGTAAGTATTTTCATGCTTTAGCATACTGCATGCGTACGATTGTTGCCATGACAGTATGCCTGCCATGCGGCTAAATGCTTATGTGATATTATTGTTTGGATGCCTGTGGGTGAAGGTTGGATGGCCCGAATTGGAAAAACTCGTTGAAATCCGTATTTTAGCCTACTTGCGAGTAGCAAATTCCAAAAACGTTTTTCAAGATAAACGGATATGCAATGCTTGTTTCCAAATTAGGCAATCTAGTCTATACTTGTTTGTTGTGCACATAACATAGTAATTCTAGGCTAGCAAATGGAATAAGAACACATAACGTTTTCAAAATCGGATATCATGGTTAGTAGAGGCCGGTCTTCGGACCGGGCGAAAGGGGGTGCTCATAGCTGCCCTCCCCCGATCGTACCCAAGCTCCCGAGCCAAGACAACTTTGGTGATGACGGACAGGTGGCCTTTGGCACCGAGTCAGGGTTTCCTAAATTCCCCCATTTTAAAATATTTAGGTGGCGACTCTGTATCTGGCAAAGCAGTCCATGTTTGGCACTTCTTTCCTAAAATCTGTTTTTTCAAAACGATTTGCCAGATTTGGACTCTTTGGTTCAAGATTAAGAACCGCGACACAAATCGAGTCCGAACTGTAGTAGCGGGGTCCCTCGCGAGCGCGTGCTACAATGTGTGTATGGGTGGGGTGGGGTGGGGGGATTACATTGCTTTGTGTCTCAATGTGAAAAAATGAGATAAAAATTAATTATTAATCGTTATCAATTTTAACACTTTTCTTTTCTATTTATCAAATCAAAAAAGAAATTTGGATTAATTACGCAAACCTTCCTTGAGGTTATTGATAATTGCAAGAAGCTTTATAATTTTTAAAATTACATTACTCTTCCTTATTTTCATTGACAACTTACGTAAACTTTTGTTGTGTAATCTAACTAGCAAAGGTGATAACAAAAGCGGATTTTTCTTAAGCTCTCTGATATTAAAATTTTATAGCATAAAGGACACCCAATATTTTCATAATGTTTAAGGTCTCTCATATCGATCCAGAAAAAATTTGATCCAGAAAAATTTTGATCCAGTGAATTTCTTTGGACTTTCCAAAGAAAATTCGATCCAGAGAAAATTTTACACATCTCCAACACCAAAATTCTCTGGACACATCACAGAAATTTTTTTACACATCACAAAAAAACATTTCTCTGGACACATCACAGAGAAAGTTTTACACATATGCAACACCAAATTTCTCTAGACACATCACAGACAAATTTTTACACATCATCAACACCAAATCTCTCTAGACACATCATAGAAAAAATTTTACACATCTCCAATACCAAATTTCTCTGGACAAATTACAGAGAAAATTTTACACATCACCAACACCAAATTTCTCTGGACACATCACAGAGAAAATTTTATACATCTCCAGTACCAAATTTCTCCTAACACATCACAGAGAAAATTTTACACATCACCAACACCAAATTTCCCTAAACACATCATAGAGAAAATTTTACACATCTCTAACACAAAATTTCTCTGCACATATCACAGAGAAAATTTTACACATCACCAACACCGAATTTCATTGAACATATTACAGAAAAAATTTACACATCTCCAACACCAAATTTTTCTGAACACATCACAGAGAAAATTTTACACATCGCTAACACCAAATTTCTCTAGATACATCATAGAGAAAAATTTACACATCTCCGACACCAAATTTCTCTAGACACAGGAAGTGACGGTAAAACCTAAGGAGGTCTCAAATCTACCCAAAAACTTAACAAAAATAAAAAACGACCCCAAGAAATCAAGATACTTTACTTTGCACCCCCTCTACTAATCATATCTTTGTATCTTCTAACGGAGTCCAGCCTCTACAATTTCAATTGTTGCCTGAACATATTGATGAAATCATCAGCCTTTACATCAACCTGCTCATCTTCTACAGCCTCCATTAAGACTCTACCCTCTTTCATCGTCGCTGGACGGTGAGCCTCCATGATTTTATCTTCCTCAAAATGCGCAAAACTCGACTTGGCACTCGCCGGAGGTAGGGTTGGTGTTGGACTTGGTTTTGTTCACGTGATGATGGTAGACCTCATTTAGACTCTCGTATCATCTTTGAGAAAATGGGTTTGTTGAGAATTTTGATGGGTCTCTGATTTGGGGGATTTTGAATCTAGGTTTGGATTTGGATTGAAGTCTTGAAGTGAGGTTTGGATTTAGAGAAAGAGAGAGAGAGATGAAATAGGGAAGGTAGAGAGAGAGATGAGATTTGATTTGAGAGAGTCAAATTTCTCTGTGATATATGGATGTTGGGTTAAGGGACCTTAAACAACACAAAATAATATTTTTGATCTTTTCCATTACTAAAAATGGGATAGGGACTTTAAACTAATTTTCTCATAACAAAAGTTGGTTTATATAAGCAAATGTTAGTAACTAAATATAGGTTTCCTTTCAGAATCAATTATTTTAGTTAATTTTTAAATTTAAAAAAAAACATAAAAAATGAAATAAAAAGAACAACCCTATATATCCTTTCAAACAAACAACCGACTCTCAATATATCCATACAACCAAACAAACCCATTCCGTTTATTTATCATTACAAGAAACAGCCCCCATCTTGTTCTTATCTTCCCTCTACTCAATCATTCATTGCCCTTACTCCACCGGCGACATGGTGACACCACCTCCTCATCCTTTTCTCCATCGGTAGCAGCACCATCACTCGTGTTATCCCTACCCACTCTTCATCCATCCCCCCTTAACTCTCTCTCTCTCTCTCTCTTATACCCATCATGGATTTAAACAACCTTTTCTTTGTCTCTTCACTGCCCCAATTTTATTTTGCCCCATTCTTACAGTAATTACAGAGTACTGTTTAAGTGTGGCATTTCCTCGAACACCTCATACCTATCTATACCCATAAACATTGTCAACATCCCAGAAAATTTCAAAACCATCCACACCCCCTCTTTTCTCTTCAAACCCAACAATGAGATGAAAAAAAGAAAGAAAAAAAAAAGAATTTGAATATATATATATATATATATATATTCAGGTGGGTTTCACACTTGCAGAGGGTGGCGGTGGTGGCTCTCTCAGTGTGTAAGTGCAAATGGAAGGAAATGAGATATTTGAGTGGTAATGGTATGCTTTAAATTGACCGTGAACATCTCTTGATATGCTTTAAATTTCAGCCTGCTTGTGTGAATTGCATGTATAATTGAAGATAAATGTGTATATATGTGTATATATATACAGATACATATACACATATTTATATAGGAGTAGTTTTTTTTTTTTTGAAACCTGTAAGTGTATATAATTGAAGTCACTGTGCTGTTACTGTATGGTGAATTCTATGTATAATGAAGATAAATATGTATGTAAATGCATTTGTGGTCTTTCGTTATTATCTATTGTCGTGTTGGTTGTGATTCAAGAGCTCTTTAGTTATACCTTACGTGTTGTTTGTTAGTAACTAATTATTTTTTTTTTATTATATAGTTATGACTCCTATGAGGGTGAGTTTTGAGGGTGTGTACCATAGCATTAACCATCTATATATGATTGAAGTAACACTGTTGTTTGTTGTTAGTGTATTTTGGTGGTGGTATAGGAATGGTGGTGGCACAGGAATGTTAGTGTAACACAGCTGTTTGCTAGAGAGAGAGAGGGGAAAAAGCGAAAAGGATGGGTACAGGCATGATTTTGTTTGGTTCTAAAGATAAATAATTGAGGTGAAAGTTTGGTCTTTAAATTAAGGCTGTTTGGTTATAAGAAAGGAGATCAAAATAAAAGGGTGAAAATGTAAAATTATTTTTTCTGTCAATTTCCATCACCCATCAACTCTAACAAGGGAGGTTAGTGTAATTTAAAAAACCATAAGGGAGGTTACGGTATTTGTCAAAAACCTCAAAGGTCCATGTAATTAGCCCAAAAAATTTAAATGTACAAGTGTAAAGGGAGGAGAGTTAGTATAGCTTGCATACAAAAAATAAGTGGACAAGTGAGAAAGGTAGAGAAATAAAGGATACCGGTTTTAAACTATATTATAGTGGCAAGGATAGACACAGGAATGGGATAGGAATAATAGTTGCTAAGAGTCTTGTAGAAAATGTAGTTGCGATCATTAGGAAATGTGATAGGATTACATTAGTTAAACTAGTTATTAGAAAAAATATAGTGAATGTTATTAGCGCGTACGCCTCTATAGTAGGATTAGGTGATCAGACTAAAAGAGATTTTTGGGACCAAATGGATGAGGTATTATAGGAGATACCCGTTGGAGAGAACCTAGTTATAGGCAGTGATTTCAACGGCCATATAAGAACAGATGAACTAGGATATGAGAGGGTGCATGGTACGTATGGTTTTGGTGATAGAAATGAGTCTGAAGAGAATATTTTAGATTTTGCGTTGGCTTTTGACTTGGTGGTGGCCAATACTATATATAAGAATAGGAATAATAGTTGCTAAGAGTCTCGTAGAAAATGTAGTTGCGATCATTAGGAAATGTGATAGGATTATATTAGTTAAACTAGTTATTGGAAAAAATATAGTGAATGTTATTAGCGCGTACGCCTCTATAGTAGGATTAGGTGATCAGACTAAAAGAGATTTTTGGGACCAAATGGATGAGGTATTATAGGAGATACCCGTTGGAGAGAACCTAGTTATAGGCAGTGATTTCAACGGCCATATAAGAACAGATGAACTAGGATATGAGAGGGTGCATGGTACGTATGGTTTTGGCCCCGCGGGCTTGTTACAATTAGGTGATCAGACTAAAAGAGATTTTTGGGACCAAATGGATGAGGTATTATAGGAGATACCCGTTGGAGAGAACCTAGTTATAGGCAGTGATTTCAACGGCCATATAAGAATAGATAAACTAGGATATGAGAGGGTGCATGGTACGTATGGTTTTGGTGATAGAAATGAGTCTGAAGAGAATATTTTAGATTTTGCGTTGGCTTTTGACTTGGTGGTGGCCAATACTATATATAAGAAGAGAGAGGAGCATTTGATAACCTTTAAGAGTGGGTCAATTAGGAACCAAATAGATTACTTTCTAGTAAGAAAAGTAGACCATCTAAAATGCAATGATAGTAAGGCGATTCCTGGAGAGAGCCTGATGTCTCAACATAGGATTTTGGGACTAGATTTATACCTTAAAAGGGCAATTCCAAGCTATGAAGGATAGTGGGCGTTGTAGAACGAGATGGTGGGACCTAAAAGGAGATAAACTAGAAATATTTAAGAATAGAATGGATAAAGAAGGTACTTGGGACTTGGGACTTAGAAGATGATGCAAACACTATGTGCAACTTGATGGCCAATTGTATGAAGAGAATCTTAAGAGAAGTTCTTGGATAGTCGAAAGGAAAGGGACCCAACTCTAGGAAAACTTGGTGGTGGAAGGAGGAGGTTCGAGAGGTAGTAAAGATGAAAAAAATGTGCTTTAAAAAGTGGCAGAGTGATAGAATTGAGGGAAATCTTAAGAGTTACAAATTGGCTAAAGATGTCAAAAAAGTAGTGAGAGAGACTAAGTTGAAGCCTATAATGACCTATACACTAGATTAGATAGTAAGTAAGGAGAGGAAATGATATACAAAATTGCTAAGATGAGAGAGGAAAAAAAGTGACTTTAATCAGGTTAAGTGCATCAAGAGTGAGGACTTCAAAGTGTTGGTAAAGGATGAAGAGATTAAGGAGAGGTGGAAGAACTATTTTGAGAAGTTGTTAAATGAAGAACATGGAGGTAGGCCAAAAGGGGAGGAAGTAGGCAGTAATAAGGAAAACTAGGACTACAGGTTCTATTGTAGGATTATGAACTTCGAAGTGAAGATTGCACTTAAGAAGATGAAATTAAATAAGGCTTTAGGACCCGATAATATCCCTTTTGAAGCTTGGAAATGTTTGGGTAAGAAGGGGATGGCTTGGTTTTTATTTATTTTTTATTTTTTTGGAATTAAGGGGGTGGCTTGATTAACTAGGTTATTTAGTAAAATTTTGTTGACTAGGAAAATGCCAGAGGAGTAGAGGAAGAATATCTTAGTGCCAATCTATAAGAATAAAGGAGATGTTCAGAACTGCAACAACTATAGAGGAATCAAGCAAATGTGTTATATAGAGAGAGTAATGGAACATCGATTGCGAGATATAACAAAGGTGTTAGAGAATCAATTTGGGTTTATGTCTGGTAAACCAACAATGGAAGCGATCTATATTTTGAGGAGAGTAATAGAAAAGTATAAAGAAAAGAAAAGAGACATTCATATAGTTTTTATCGATCTTAAGAAAACATATGATAAAGTGCTTTGGGATATAATCTGGTGAGTGTTAGAGAAGAAAGGGGTGACAAGAGGTTACATTGATGTGATTAGAGATATGTATGAAGGTGTGGTGACCACTATTAGATCACCGGTTGGAGGGGCAAGTGAATTTTCCATTAATGTAGGGTTGCATCAAGGATCAATCTTAAGTCCTTATCTTTTTGCTTTAGTTATGGATGAGTTGATGAGAAATATTCAGGATGATGTGCCATGGTGTATGCTTTTTGCAGATGATATCGTGTTAGTGGATGATACTAGAGAATGAGTTAATACTAAGTTGGAGACTTGGAGAGAAGCACTTGAATATAAAGAAATTAGGATAAGCAGAACTAAGACAAAGTACATGGAGCATTATTTTAATAACAGTAACAATGGAAGTAGAGGAGAAGTGAAGACTGAGGACTAAGTACTACTTAAGAGCAAACATTTTCGTTATTTACGATTGACTATCACAACGGTTGGGGAGATTGGAGCAGATATGGTCCATAGAATTAAGGCAGGGTGACTTAAGCGGAGGAGTGCGTCTGCGGTACTGTGCGATAAATAGGTACCCACTAGACTAAAAGGAAAATTTTATAGAACGACTATTAGACCAGCGATATTGTATGGGATGGAATGTTGGGCAATTAAGAAACAACATGTAGATAAGATGAGTGCTGCTGAGATGAGGATGCTTAGGTGGATGTGTGACAAGACTAGAAAAGACAGAGTTAGGAATGAGTATATCCGAGAATGGGTAGTATGGATAGAATATATGTTGAAGGAGAATAGTTTGAGATGGTTTAGTCATATACAACGGAGACCAACAGGGGCAGTAGTGAAGAGATGCGATATAGTGACCATAGATGGAAGTGTTAGGAGAAGGGCAGACCTAGATTGACCTTGGTTAGTGTAGTAAATAGAGATATGAATCTCCTTAATTTGACTAACAATATGGCCTTGGATAGAGTCGAATGGAGAAGAAAGATTCATGTAGTTGACCCTATTTGATGGGACTTAAGGCTTAGTTTGGTTTGGTTTGGTTTGGTTTGGTTAAGTGTAAATGGAGGTTTGCACCCACTGCTATTCCAATTTAAGGCCTTATTTTACTACTCACTGGTCTGTTCTGCAAATCATCTGGGCAAATGCTATAATGTTTTGATTTGGTTTGATTTTATTTTTGGTGGATTTTTTTTAATCATTTCAAATTAAACATGAATTCTATTGGAAATGAGACAATTCATTTTTAAGTTCTTATCATGTTCAACGTTGAAGAACTCTAACACTTAACAATTACACTCTGTTTGCATAGTGGGGTAAGAAAGCTTTGCGTAACCAATCTATGCAAGGCCTCATATAGATGTTTGTTTTGATAGATTCAAAGCTTGTATCTATGCTCTGAAAATAAATAGGGGATACTTTTTTTTGTTTTTCTCTTTTTTATGATTATGATAAATTCAAAGTCTGTGTCACTTCTGCAAAAACAAGGCTAGTTTTGCCATAAAAATGAAAATAGGGCTTTCTTTATATTGTGGGTGTTTGGGAAGTGGGTTTTTTTGTAGGTTTTTTTAGTTGTAGCATATTATTAGAGAATTTTTTTTTTTTTGTGTTTGGGAAGATAGTTGGGTTTTTTTGTGGTTGGATGTGATATTTGTGAGAGAAAAAGTGAAATGATTACGGGGTTTGATGTGATATTTTCTTTGGATTGTTTTTTTTGGTTTTGTAATCAATTTGTCTTTTACTGAAAAAAAACAAAAACCAAATACCAAAAACCCAACTTCCCAAACAGTGCCATTGTTCTCTAAATTTTTCACTAGTTATTATAGGTTG